CAAAATCGGCTACTGCCGATAGACATAAAAGCCTTCGGAATAGGTTTTAGACAAAACTTGATAATCATTGCATCTTGTTCCGAAAAAATTCTGTTTAAAATAAGCTACTTAACTCAAAAATGTTGGGATTTTGAAGATTTTTGTATAATTGGAGGGCTCCCGATTTATCAAATTTTTCTAACTTTTCAATGATTTTGGAGAAAATGTTACATTTCATAGAGAATTTTTTGAACAATATGCACTATCTGGTTTTGTCTATTCCAAAGCCTTTTATGACTATCGGAAGTAGCCGATTTTGGGCTATTTTGTGGTTTAAATCGTTCATAACTTTCGAGAAATGGCTATTCCGCAGAAACGGTTACCATATTCGGAATCAGCGTAAAATTCTGCACCAGATAGGCTTGCTCCCTTGCCAAAGTCCCGACGACACTCAAAAACGTCTCCTTGTTAGGCTTCGGCATAGGCTTAAACTTAGGCTTAAGCTTAAGAGTTCCGCTTTCATCACCCGAGCGTCATTTCATACTTATCAAAATTTCCAAAAAAACTTGACTGTCACCCCGCGGGGGTCACACGCCGATCAGCTGAAAATCGCTGATTTGGGCAACCGTTTTTTCTACTAGTCGATTTTTGAGTGGCATTTGAAGCTGCCGATCTTGCAACCCCCCTAGGATACGGTTGCAGTTTGTGGCAGGTACACGTGCTGTGCCATCAATCACTTGGTTTCGAGTTACCTGTATTCGGCAGTACTGGCACCGGACTTTGACTGGTCGCGTTTTTTTACCTATCGGGTTTTGCGCTTGTCGGTATTTCGATTCTGAAGATTTCTATGTCGGCATTTTGCCTTTTTGGCATTTTGCCGGTCGAGATTTTGGACTGTCAGGACTGTCGGGATTCGGGATGTCGGGATTGGCCCTAGTAGGTATTTCGATTCTGAAGATTTCGATGTCGGCATTTTGCCTGTCGGGGCTGTCGGTATTCGGGATGTCGGTATTACGGCTTCCGAGATTCCAGCCTGTCAGGATTTGCCTGTCCGGGGTTTGTGTGTCGGGATTTTGCCTTGCCTGGGTCTCGGATGTGGGGTTTTCGTTGCTGCTATATTTGCCTGTCGGGACGTTGTGCCTGGGCTGTCGGGACTTTGATCTGTCGGCATTTTGGACCTCGAGATTGTAAATGTCGATATTTTGGCCGGAATCCCGGAATAAGCATTGCCGCTCAACCCCCCCGTCATACCCCGAGGCTATCCAGTGTGTGTTGGTTGGCTCCCCTCCGGGTGTCCGGCTAGAAGAAGGGGGCAGCGCCGGGGGGTGCCACGCTAAAAAGTGTCCCCCGCGCCCCGGGGAGGGGCCGCCGTGGACGCCAAAAAAGTGGCCCTTTTGCAGAAGGGTCCTCTCTCTCGCTCTCTCTCACTCTCTCTCTCTCTCTCCTCGAGTCGGTACCCCCTGGTTCGACCCCCACCGGCGGCAAAAACCGCGAGCTCCAAAAAACTGTGCGCATTCCCCCATCGCTCATCTCGCGCTGTTTTTTGGAGATTTTTTTTCGGCTCTGAAAAAGTGGTTGACCGCCCGGGTTTTTGTAGTTTGTCCACGCAGCTGTTTTTTGGTGTTCAACGGAGCGGAAAGGAAATATAGATTTTAGGCCTGGCTTAGGCTTGCCTTACGCTTCGGCCTCAACTTAGGCTTAGGCCTAGTCTTCGGCTTAGCGTTGGGCTTATTTTAGGCTTAGGCTTAGGCTTGCGCTGAGCCTAAGCTCACTGTTCCGCTCCCTTTAAATTGACCTTGTCCACCTTCAGAACCCCCCTCCGGCGCCTAAAAAAGGTGGAAGCTTCGCGAACGCCGCGGCTTTGGCCCCGGGCGTTCCTTTTTCAGAGACTAGAGATTAGAGGTGAAAAAGAAAGAGGGCGAGAGAAGCGACATCCCAATTTTTTGCGGCTCGCCTTTTTTGGGGTCCTCCCGCGGGGCCCAGGGGGGAGGGGGAGGAGAGGTGGGCAATACACACAGAGAGACATCATTCACATCATCTATAGCTTCTCTCTCTTTCTCCCTTTCTCTCTCTCTCTCAATCTCTCTCTCGCTCCTCTCAAGTGTGAATCAGCACTTCCTTTACCCTACTTTTGCCTCCGAATCAAACCTAATCCGCTCTTTGGCCTCGGGAAGGGGACTCGAGAAAATGGGGGGGAGGGGCTCCAAAAAACCATATGTAGGGTGACAAATCTCTTTCCGCTTCCTGATTTCTGCAGAAAATGTTCTAGGAATTGTAAATTCGTTTTAAAGGGAGCGTGACAGGTCCAGGATTCGGTCAAGCGCCGGCGTTCTCATAGAATCGCACGTTTGGGCTAAGGCTTAAGCTTAGGTTTAGGTTTAGGCTTAGGCTTAGGCTTAGACTAGGCTTAAGTTCCGGTACATGCAGTGCGATTTAGACATGATGCTTTTACTAAAACGGTTCGTCTTCAGCAGCCCGCCGTAGCCATCCCCCGATGGCCGTTCCCCCGTTCGGTTTGTTTGTTCTTCTCCTTCTCTGTGCCCCGTTTTTATGGGCCTTTCATCGATCCCGACCTACCCTGCTCCGTCGGGTTGGTTCAAGCCGCCGGGGCGGCCGGGTAGCCGGAACCGGGCCGGGGTGGTCGGAGAGTTCCGGTAACCGGAAGCGGGTACGGGGCGTGGATTCCAAAAGGGGAAGCATATACGGTAAAATCGCACCAGCTATATCTCTCTCGCTCTCTCTCGCTCTCTCTCGCTCTCTCTGGCTCTCTCTGTCTCTCTCTCTATCTCTCTTTGTAATTCTTACGCCCGCATTAAATGCCTTTCCCATTCCTTTAAAAACCTTTAAATGCACCGTGACAGCTGAAATCACATAGTTTTTCATAGATCCAACCCTTCCAAGTCCCTTTAAATCCGTCCAACCCCAGCCTCAAGCTTATAATAACGTCCCTCGAGCCTCCTCCTGGCCGACGGGAGCTTCAACGAGTCCAAAAAAGCGTTCAGACCGAGGGGACCGGTCGTGCTCCCCTCTTTCCCTCAGCTCCTCCTCCCCTCCTCGCGGCCACTTTTTACAAGTATATATTTATGTATGCCTCTCTTCCTCCTCCTCTTTTTCCATCCCATTCCTCTCTACACCCTCCCGGCCTGTGCTGCGGCTTTTTTGGATCTGAACGCGACGGCTGGGGCGAGAGAGAGATAGAGAGTGAGAGGGAGATCGAGAGGGAGAGAGAGAGAGAGACAAAGAGAGAGAGAGAGAGAGAGAGAGAGAGAGCAAGCCTGCCGCAGTCCATTTTTTGCCGATGGCTCGGGTCACAGGACGGTGCCGACAAGTTTTTGCCTATTAATCTTGGGCGGAGTTTGTCGCGTTGTATTTTATCTGGATTTTTAAACTTTTTTTGGCATTATGCTGTCACTAACCCTCCAAATTTTGGCTACCAAAAATTGGAAGCCTTCCAAAAAGATTTATTAATATGATCCAGGTGTCACTGCCCCTTTAAAGGCTTTAAAAGCGTTAAAGAAACGAGTAAATTGCTGAAGATACCTAAAAAGGCCCTAGAGCTATCTTCGGAATTAAACTTACGCTAAAAAGCCTAAATTCCTGGACTGTTATCCTCTTTAAAGGGAGCGTGACAGGCCATGAGATCGTCTGCTTTGCCCTGTCTCTTTCGCGCTTTCCTATGCATCCCTTTCCGAATATCTATCTCTATCTATCTATCTCTCTCTCTCTTTCTCTCTTTCTCTCTCTGTCTCTCTCTCTCTCGCTCTCTCTCTCCCGAATTCTCGCTTTCGATACGCTCGCTTTCCATCTATAGATTTCGGTCTCTCTCCCTCCCTTTCTCTCTCTCTATCATTCTCTCTATCTCTCTCTCTCGCTCTTTCTATCACACTGTCTATCTCACGCTCTCTCCACCGCACTACCCCCCGCCGCCTACACTCCGGCTTTTAAAGGGATCGCGACACCTATTTCTATCCAACTCGCTTTGACCTACACCTTCCCATTCACATTGCAACCTTCTTAAAACCTTCCGAATCTCGGATCCCGCCAGTTCAATCCCCATCCCTTCCCCCTTTTTCCATTCCATTCCCCCAAACACCCCGTTCCCCCCGGAGTCTCCAGTAGTTTTTTTGCCGCCTTCCCCCCGTCCGCCCGCTCTGCTCCACCCAGTCGCCCGGGTCCATTTTTTGCCGGCTCTACTGGGGGCCCCGGCCTGCCGCCCTATTCTGCGCCCGTTTTTCGGCCCCTTCTTCCCCTCTGCCCCCTCTACGCTCTCTACGCACTCTCTCGCCGTCCCCCGTTCCGGCCCGGCCACTTTTTCCGCCGTCCGTCCGTTCCCCCCTACCCCCTCTCCGTTCCCATCCAACAACCCTCTACCACCACCATCCCCCCCATCCGCGCTCGACGTTCCGTAGTGTTACGGAATTC